CAGGGAGTGACAAGTAAAAAAGGATTGAAAAATAGTCTCTCCAAAGGCCATTTTTACATGGAAGCGGCGGCTGGTATTGACTGGAGAGTAGAGTGAGGGATACCGAACCCCCCTTCATCCCAGTAAAAATGCGAGAGGGGGGGGGAGAGTTTTGAAGGCGCAATTTGCAAAGATAGCGAAAATTTCTTATTCTCCATCCTTGGCATCACGCAATCGCTGCGAAACTGCAGATGTTTTTTTATCCCCTCGTGTTGCCAGTGCGCGTGATTAGGGCTCAGGGAGCTACCATTAGGGTTTCCGTGCGTTTTCTAACTTCTTATGATTATATACATGTGTGAGAGCAAATATCTAGTGTGGGTATCGCGTTCTCGAGCAGGCGCGGGCGCGTGCTCTCGGAAGTTGCGGCCGGCTCTCGTGCCTACTTTAGTTACGCTAACTTCAATCACAATAAAAGCACTTGATGCGCAGGGTCGTGAGAAAATTTTTTGTTCCTTCCCACTATAAAGTTTACTTCTTATGGTTATTATACATACATTCACGAACCGTGCTTTCGTAGCAAAAACTAACACTCTAAATGCTCACATGTTCACAGGAAATTGTAAAATGTTCTAATCGGAGCTCTCTGTACTTTCTTTGCCATAAAATACAGTAAAATATTGTCGTTAGCCATGACAAAAATTTCCAAGAGTTAAAATGAACCTTAAAATTTTCTCACGAAATATTTATTTGAATAGCTCATATAATAATTTACTTACTACATTTTATAACATAGTTTTATATTTAGGATTTAAAGTACTATATTTTATAATGCTACATTACACTTTCTCTGTTCAGGAATAAGAGTTATTATGTGTTTAATTTATCTAATAATAAATATGCTTTTCCTAAGGGATGACTTAATTCAATACACTTAATTACTTGACTTACACTTCAATACACTTTGCTTGCATAATACTTATAGTTTCTTTATTTTATCTTGCATTTTTCCCACGAGATCAAACACAGCATTGGAAATAGTGCTCATTGAGTCACCGTTAAGCTTGCCGTTTTCAATTAGCTCTAACAATGAGTGATACAAAAGCTCTAAAAATAAATCACAGCCAGCATATTGTCCTTTTGGCTGCCACTAGTTTATTTCAAAAATCTGTAACTAAAACTTCTTTGCTGTTGTCAATATTTAGGTCAAAAAGGGATCTGGAATTTACCTACCAAAACAGGTTTTATATGGAAATCTCTCCTAACTTACAAATGCCAAAATATTTATTCATTCTGGTTATATTTTAAATTCTCAATATTTAGCATTAGACTCAATATTTAGCATCTATGTATATATGTATGTGAACATGTGTGCGTATGTGTATGTAAGGTAAAATTTAAACTCTCTTAAGCTTCCATTTTATTTTAATTCTCTTATTTCTTTAAATCTTTCTGATTTGCATCTTTCTAAAATTAATAACTCTCATAGGATTTTTATAGAACATCTTTTCCCAATAATAATTTTGTTAAGTTTACAAATCGAAATTTTAACTAACAAATTGAAATGGCAGGGCGATAACTTTGCTATTCTTAGCTTAATTACGATATTGCAATTTAAGTATTTGTCTCTTGTCTGCCTTTGTACTATTAATATCAAGCCTATCCCCTCTGTTTTGTTGTCAGTTACAATTATATGAGAATGAGAAATATGTGCTTGTGTTGATATCTTGTGTTATTATTCAACGAAATACTCTTCTGTAAAGAGATAACTTCCGAATACTTCATCATGCATTCATTTCTTCTCGCAGCATCTAAGTTATACTAAAAAAAGTATTGCATATGTATATATGAAATATTAAATTACAATATTAATTTATATAATTTTAATATTCAATATATTGTAGTTTATTAGATTATATAATATTTAATATTTCATGTCTTAATTTTTGCCACGTTTCATTTAATCTGAAACGCTCGCCCAGTCTTCATGATGCTTCTAACAATACTGTACCCGCCGAAAACATCGCGACAAAACTCTCGTAGACAAGAAAGAGTGTTGCAAAAAAACAAAGCAAGGGGAAAACATCTTCGAACAAAATATCGTGGGAAAAAAAGAAAGCAAGGAAATAACATCGCAGTTCTAAAACATCGTTAAATAAAATATTTAATATTTTATGACATAATTTTCTTCCTATCTCATTTTATTCGAGACACTAGCACCGACTTGGGATGCTTTTGATAATACAGTCAGTGCCCGTTGAAAACATCCCGTTACATAACGGACATCAAGGGCGAAAGCGCGGCGAAAAACGTGGCGTACAAAACGTAGTGAGAGAAAGGAATATAAGGAGAAAACATGGCAGTTCTAAAACATCATGAAACACACTGAGGTAAAAAATGAAGGGGTGCAAAAACTTCGAAGTTTAAAACATCGTAGTGCAAAAACTTCGAAGTTTAAAACATCGTAGTGCAAAAACTTCGAAGTTTAAAACATCGTAGTGCAAAAACTTCGAAGTTTAAAACATCGTAGTGCAAAAACTTCGAAGTTTAAAACATCGTAGTGCAAAAACTTCGAAGTTTAAAACATCGTAGTACAAAATATCGTGGTAAAAAGTAAAGCACTTACAACTGCATGACGATAACATCGCAGCCATATCTTTTATGACTGTACAATTTTTAAGTGAATTTTAGCATAAATTCGTTTTCCTTTAAAGACAAGAAGGAAACTTAAGCTTTCAAAATCTGGAAATAAGTAAAACTTAATAGCATAATAGCATTTAGAACTGGATTTTTTCTCCTTGCTTTTTTTTTTCTAGGTTGTTTCCTACGACCACTTTTACGTTGTTTTTTATTAATGTTTTAATCTATAACAAATAATGCATTATTGAAAAGGTATTAGTGTCTGAAATTTGTATTTTAATAAACAGAAAAAAATATGAGCTGGAATTATACAATAATTTGAAAAACATTAAGCAGCTTGCCAAAAAAATAAATATTTAACGTGAAACTAATATTTTAACCATTTTAGACCTTTGTACTTTACGTTTATACTTCCAATTTATTTATTTTTTTTAAAGATCCAGATTTTTAAAAAAAGTAAAACTGATACTTATCACTTCTTAGCATTAGCTTATGTTGGCTTACAGGACGTCTCATAAAGAGGATTACTATTGACGCATGATAAAAATCATTTGTCGAAAGTATAATATTAAAATATTTGAAGCTTAAATATTGACCAGGTACTCGTCTTATACACGAAAAGGAAGTTTATATATACGATCAGATGGTAACTGAATTATCAGATCAAATGGTAACTGAATTTTAGAAATTGAATTATCTATAACATTTATTACTCCACTCTCCGTTTACAACGTATAAATATGTGATACTGAATAAAAACGATCCATGCATTTTATGTCATCCTTCTATGCGATGTTATTAATGCTTTTCTTTAAATAACTCCAATTTATATTTAATACAGGAGTTTATTGGCCACAGTTTCGCAGAAAGCAACACTGTTAAACGCAAATTAATAATTTTTACGCGAGTAGATTAATTAATTGACTGTATCAAATACTTCGATAAATTGAATCTGACAGATCTTTAAATATTTATTTTCGAATTATACGCTGGAATGCTTGAATCACTATTACAACTTAGCTATTCTAATATGGAAACTATTTATACATAAGATTTATAAACTTTTGAACACATATTTTGGGAGTCGTGGATAAATGCTACACTTCATCACAGGAGGTGACCACCTCCTCTGATGAAGTTTCTACTCGGTCTTGCTTCTTAGCTACTAAATTCTTAAAAACTAGCTCCATTACTTGACCTTCGTCATGTATTGATTACCTAGTAGATACGCGATATGAATAGGAGCATCCGAGCAACATTTGGGTAAAAGTAGTCCTAAACCCATTAATTATTTTGACTTGAACTCAAAAAATATATTCGATGATATATTGAAATTAAATTTTATGCAAAACTATGCGTTTAATATGCATAATATATATTAAACTTAATGTATGTTTAAAGTATATTTAATTAATTGATGCAGTGAAATGCCAATTGGATGCATTCATAAATATGTAGTAAATATTAACCATCAGCGTAATGTAAAGAATACAGTCTTTCCATTTGAAATTTCAGGTTACAATCAAACATCTCGAAAAAAGTAGACGAATTTCATTTTTAAAAGTTACGTTTCATTCCGTACATTTTAAATGTAAAATAGTGTAATGAGAAAAATATTAATAAATTAATAAAGCATATTACTGTTTGAAGGAATTTAAAAATATAAATTTATATATAAGTTTTATCATATATAAGTTACTTCAAATATTTATTATAATCTTTAAATTTTATTCTGCATGCAACTACAGCATACCTAAGTAGCACAGTTGGAAATTTTGTATTCCACTCATTATGGAGGGTATTAGAAACTCCTTTAGTTATGATATTCAAGATTTAAAACAGCATTATTATTAAGAATTCCAGATAAAATGGTTTCAAATAATTAATTTTGACCTGAGCTTTTTCTAATCATATTTTTAGTGTCCAGTTTTCAAATAAATAATTTTGTACGGAGATTTTTCTAATTACCTTTACATAAAATTAATCAAATTTTAGTTACACTTATTTATTAATCAAATAGTTTAAATAGAATAATAATAATGGATCTACAAGCTTTACAATGACAAAAAGTCGATTTTCCCACGAAATGTTTCTTAAGGAAATCGATTTCTGATTTAAACAATATTTAATATATGTAACCCGTTTAACATTTAATACCCGGCATGTTAAGATTTGGGATCGAATTCAAATCCTTTTCTTTTCATTTCAAAATACATAGTAAAAATGAACAGTTTTTTAGATCGATATTTAAGTTTGAACGTGTAAATATTTCTCATGTTAAAGAAAATGTACTTTATGTATAAAAAGGTATGATTAAAATAGCATTTTACGAATGTAAACTGTAAAATGAGTTTTACTATTATTGAAAAATATCCGATCATCAGTCTTTCTCATAATTTCAGTTTTATTTTTGCTTCTTAGCTTTACATAAATATTTATTTACAATTTCTGTTACATTCTTCAAAAAAGAAACCATGCAAAGACTTAAAATATGTTCTTGAGTTATTATAAAACATATCCTCAATACAAATTCAGATTATTTACTTGATGCCCAGAGCCATTGCTTATTAATTAATGTAAAATTTGTATCATGAGCCTCTAAGAAAGTCACAGTCGATTGATTTCTTCCACAACCTAAAAAGGAAAACAAAGGAGAATTAAAACGTCGCTTTAATATTTCTGAGAGTTACGTTTATCTGTCAAAATATTATTACTGAAACATGAAAATATATCTTTTAGTCAGATTAATAAAACTATAAAAATTATATTTAATTAAATTTGATTTAAAGGATTTACTTTATAAGGTATTTCTCCCACTTTCTTAGCGTGCCTTCGAGGTGTAGTGGTTCTGCACGCTGGGCCGGTATTCCAGAGGTCCGTGGTTCGATTCCCGGCAAAGGCGGTTGCTAATTTTTCATAACTCCTGTTTCAAAATAATGCCTAACGTCTCTACAGTGGCACCCGAACTAAAAGGGTGTTGGATGAGGTTTCTCCACATCCAAGATTTGGCGATTGGGTCCCCTGAAAACCCCAGTCGCCCATTAAAAAGGAGAGTATATAAGGTATTCTCCCACTATCCTAGCGTGCCTTCGTGGTGTAGTGGTTCTGCACACTGGGCAGTTATTCCAAAGGTCCGTGGTTCGATTCCGGGCGAAGGTGGTTGCTAATTTTTCATCACTCCTGCTTTAAAAAAATACCTAATGTCTCTACAACTTAATATAATTAGAGATATTTTTACTTGAGTTTAAATTTCTGTGTGAGGAAATGACATTTTCATATTTTACTACGGTAATATAAAAAATGAAAATTTTGTTCATCTGCTTATTTTTTAAGAAAAGCAGGTATTCTAATGTTAAGGCCTAAAGAGTGTCAATTTCTTGAGAGCCATTTTATCCATAAAGCCTTTTTGAATCTCTTATATTAGGCAGCGTTGAATAATTCTATATGAAACTGGTAGAACATTTGCTGAAAAACTATGGCAAATCCTTATACGTATCACGTGTTTAGTAATTACATTTACCCTGGCCTATATAATATGTCATGTAACAAACTCTTACGTTAATTTCACCATTTCATCAGGAAGTGCTAGAATGGTGCTTTGACATTATTAGATTAGTATGCCTACAAAAGACATACTAATCTATGTACTTTAATTTGAAAAAAATCAAATTTTGCTGCCTTTGATCTTGTTAATCGAATTCATTGTTCTTATTCTGACTTGAATGAAAATAGAATTTTGTGCTTATGTAGATTCCAAGCAGCTATTTTCAAATTTTGCAACTGTAACGCAGAGGAGACACCGAAAGATAAAATGCTTGTCAATATTCGATGTTTAATCACATGCATAAGCAAATGACAGTAATCTTCTTTTCCTCTGATAGCCCACCAGCGGCCGAGCGGTAAAGTCGCTGAACACTGGTAGTTCGGTCCGAGGTTCGAATCCCGCGAACGGGCTGGCTGCATGGGTGTTTTCGTGGTTTTCCCCATGTGTGACGTGTATACGAGCCAGTTTCCCTTAGAAAGTCCGCCACGAAGGCATCCCTCCTCTTAGGCAGATAGCCCTCGAGGCTTTGCCATAATCACTCACACACACACACACACATTTCCTCTGATATGGTAGGTAATAAAAATTTCGGTACTTTTGGATTATCCACACTCCAATTCAACATTCGGTAGAAGTTCTGGGTATGCACGCTAAAAATCTCGACTCACACGTTAGTATACTACATATATACTGATATTTATGTGCTTTATTTTAAATGTTATTTTACCTACCAATATCCAAAAAAATTTTGAATTATTATTATTATTACTGTTCCCTCTTACTTTGTAGTCTAATAATTAGCTTAGGTTAGGTTACTTGGAAATGACAAAGCACACTACTGCTATCTAATAAGGAGTGCTGTCATGGAGGACTTTGGCTGATATTCACATTCTATGCGAGAGAAACAGTAGCAATCCCGTTCGCCTGGGTTCAAACCGGATTGAACTAGTAGTATTTAGTGGTTTTAAAACTTCGACCATTGGTGAGGCATTTCCATTACAGATCTTAATGAAGGTGAAAAATTTACTTGTTGATAAAAAAGGAAGTTTCGGTTTTCTTCAGAAATATGGTCTCGATCATCAATAGAGAATGCAAAATTTTATAACACAGTACTATAGTGATCGACTCTGAGTTTTATTTAAACGGGAAAACCAGAAGCAGAGAGGAATTGCGCATAACGTCCTGAACTGCCTCACTGAACTTATTTGGCGGAAGGCCCAGCTAGTAAAATATAAAGACTATTGAAGAAATCAAGCAACAAAAATCGGCGACATATTTGTAAACTTGCAGGACTAGTGTCGAGGGTTCAACTACATAGGTATCGACACTAGTCCTGAAAAATTTACAAATATTACGTTAATTCTTTTTCGACTTCACTAATAATCATTATTTGGCGTGTTAATTTAGCCTAAAACGTAAAGACCGTTTTAAAGAAACTTTAAAAGTTGAAGCTGAAAAATATTTACCAGCTGCAAAAATGAAAATATTCACGAAGAGAATGTTACAAGAACCTACAGTGAGTTGACGCCATCTTTAGTCTAAAAAATTCTAATGTATCATAATGCTTTTTACTTCAGAGGATACTTCATTCAGGTTTCAAATCTGGAATTCTTTATTTTAGCATGAAAAGGAAGACTACAAAGAAAGAGGGGACATTTTCTGAGACGACCAAAGTTTTGTATGTAACTTATTTTTCAGTGATATTTCACATCAATAAATCAAATGATAATGAATTATAAGTTCGAATTTTAAACGTACACCTTTTGGTTACTGATAAATGTAAGTTTTAAAAGAAATCGATTAAAATTTAATTGTTGAACTCATTAAATAGTCTTTACATTCGTTTTAAATATTATTTGAGTAAATTAATTTGCAATTTTAGTATTTATAATCTTTTTTATTTGTTATTTAGCATTATATTATTGGAAAAGAATTTATATTTAATTTTAATCATATCCTAATCGCATGCAGTAAATTTAAAATTAACGTTTAAAATTTTAAATGAAAAATATTAATGTTATGAATATATGTAGACACATGATTAAATTTATATATCAATTTCTATTTACAAGTTACATTCCTCATTTGAGAAAATAAAATATACAAAATAATTTTCATTATGCGTTTTTTTTTTCTGCAGCTGTTTTATAAAAGAAAATATTCTTCCTCCAAACGATTTATGTTTTAACTGGTTAACTAAAGCGAATTCCACCTTCTGAGCAATTTTACTTTTTTAGTCTTCATATTTTATCTCGCGTTCTTCATCAAGCAATTGGCTCTATTTTTCTTTTACTTATTGTTATGATCCTTTGATTAAAGGTTTGTCTTAGGCTCATTCAAAGTGATGTACACATTCAGTCCAATTTTTCATTGGAGAAAGTCATCTTTGATGTGAGGATGAATAAAATTTATGTCTAAGTGTCCAAATAAAGTGTTAGCGACAGCTTTTTAGCTTTTAAAACTTTTCAGTTAGATAATTGCTTCCAAATTTTTCAGTTAACGGGAGTCACGTAATTATGTGATATTCCAGCTTTTTTATTTTTCATTTCTAAGTGCTTGATAAAATGTTTAATTAAAAATAGAAAATTTCTCAGTTTACTGCCCGAATTAATTTCATCATTATATTCTTGATTATTACTGCAAAAGTCATTAACAGATAACAGCTTACCAAGAAAACGTTTTCGTTGCACCCAAATCTATTGAAATCCAGAATTTACTGGTATCTTCCATAGGAAGATCCTCGATATCCTCTGTAAGGTCGGGTCATCATCTGATATCTTTCTGGAGACAGCGAGGAATATCCTCCATAATTAACTGGCCTGCTATATCCATAAGACATAGGTCTGCTGTATCCATAATTTCCATAGGACATAGGTCTGCTATATCCATAATTTGACACAAGTCTGTTGTATCCGTACGACATAGGTCTGCTGTATCCATATGACATAGGTCTGCTGTATCCATATGACATAGGTCTGTTGTATTCGTAATTTCCGTAGGACATAGGACGGTTAATATTGTAATATCCACTGGACAAGGGTCTACGGTTGCCATTATGTCCATAATTGGAGCCTCCTTCATAATCTTCTTCTCGAAGGCTATAATCTCGGATGATATCCTGGCAACAGCACAAGTCAGTGGCGATGAAGAAAATCGCAAAAATTATCTGGAAAAGAAATTTAATTATATCTTAATGATAAGTATAACAGCTGTTTTAGAAATTTACATTTTTTAAAAGAAGCCACGTTTTATTATGATTACTTAAAAAATTGAGATAATAACTCAAAGAGGCAAACCTCTAACCAGTTAAAATTTTAAACTAAATTTATGAGAAAGAAGAGCAGAAACAAGAAGTTTGAAAGCGAAAGTATAAACTATTTTAACTTTTACCGCAATGTTGAGTGTAGACAAAAAAAAAAAAAAAAATACAGATGAATATTTTAATATGAAATGTAAGTATTATGAATAACGTAAATTAATCTTATAGTTGTGAATTGCCTAATAGTAGAAAAACAGGTATTTACCTGTACATTAACATCTATGCTCCTGAAAACAAAATTAAATTTAACAAATATTATATCGCTAAAGCACTTAGGTAAAAAAAGTAGAACACATTTTCTTTACGAAAATTTACTTTTGTCGAATTAGTTTATTTTGCTACAAATTTCAATGACATTAGTTGTTTTTATCATTTACTGTGTTTTTCATTTCCTTAATTTTCCATTGAGTTATGAAATTTCTCTCATATAAAAATATGCGAAATATCAAAAGAGGAAAAACTTTTGAACTGACGCTGAATTCCATTTTTGAAAGCAGTAAGAAGTTACATAGAGAGCTTTCGTAAAATAAATAAATTTTGGCGGATAGATTTAAATGCTATGGTTATATAAATTCTTGAAGTTTAACTAAGCTGTTTTTTTTATTTCTATCAGTAGCACTTGATATACATTATTCGCCACAGTGAAAACGCTCAGAGCAAACGCACAAGTAGAAACAACAAACCAATAATATGCAAAAAGAAAGTAAAAACATCAAAAAGTGAACCGTAAGTAAACAAACATCTCGATAACAAAAATAAATTAGTCTGTAAGGCTCACTTCTCTAGCCTTCGCGCTAATAAGCTGGTGTATTATCTGACAGAGAAATAACGATAAATAAAATGTAAAAGTACTGGAAAGTAAATTTATTCTTTTTGAAATACATGTACAGTATAAATCTGTAAACTATATGTAAAATATCCATAGATTCTGGGAAATAGCTTTTATAAAATACATTTTGAATTATTTTTATCATCTGGAAATATAAATATAAGTTAATTGATGATTTTAGTTAATGTTAGAGAGAAATAAGCTTACGATCTCAAATAGTAGAATGATTATTTGGAATGAAAATATATTGTTTTAGGAAATTTTCTATTTTGATTTACGCAACAGAGAATGAAATTATTAAAGGTATGTTGAATTAAGTATGACTCTTAACAAAATCCATATTATTAAACTGTTACATTTAATTAAAAGACCATTTTTTTATTTTCGCAGAAAAATATGCTCTTAGTTATTCAATCAAAAGTAAGTTATTTAAAGAAATATATGAATGTCTTTCATATATTTCTTTAAATAACTTACTTTTGAGGTTCGTAAATTCAAATTCTGAAAATGTGACAGAAAATTATTGCCCGTTTAAATATTTTAAGTACAAAATAGTTGGTAATGAATAAATTAAATATTTTAAGTACAAAATGTTGGTAACAAGTTAATACAAACGGCAAATTTTATATAGAATAATGATCAAATATTAAACATTGGATAAAAAAATTGAAAGAATTAAAGCATGTATATGCAATAGTGAGGAAAAGCGATAAAAGCAGGAAACATATATATTGCATCAACCATTAAGAAATATTCAATTAAAATTATTACTTAGACAGAAATTTATTTTATTAAAATTACATATTGAATAAGTTATAAATTAAGTGTACTAGATTCATTTTTAGGAAGCCAAATAGGATAAAATCAAAATATTAAAACCAGACGCTTAATCGTAGCAAACTTTCTTACTGGTAAGTATAGTGATCAAAATTTAAATTACAATCAAAATAAAATTTATGCAAGATTTAGTTTACATAGAAAGAAGGATAGTTTGCAAAAAAAGTTACTTAGAAACAGTTTCTTACCACTGCTTTCATTTTTGCTCCTGATAATGAAATGAAGAACAACTGTGGTAAAAATAAAATGCCTAAATATATTTCTGGTAATAATAAAGTTACGAAGAATGACTTCCTACGATAAAGGCACCCGTATTTATATTCCCTGTTAACTTGATTACTGTTACACCTGATTTCAGAGACTTTAAAAGATTAAGAACATATATTTAGATATCTGAGATGTTGCGTTAGTTATCAACCCATTCAATCTTCCGTCAGTTATTATTATGCATGGATTTATTTCTCCACTTGATTTAGATACAATCTAAAGTACTTTCTTAACATAGCAGTTTTTGTCTTTCGTAATCGGAGAAATTGCATTAAATAAGCTTTAAAGATATGTGCACGAAATTTCTTTGCTATCTTAAGAAATTTATTTAATTTGAAGAAATTAAGAAATCTATTTGATGTAAGTAATTTATTTAGATTTTTTTCTAAATGTGCATTTGAGATTATTAAAGCTTCACTTAATTTAAAATATAAGTAAATTATTCCATAAACAGTCTCTAACAGAATCACTTATTTTCATTCTTAATAGATGGAAAATATTTTCTTAAAATGTTAAGAACACATAAAAATTAAAATCAGATGTGTACACCACATGACTTCCTTGTACGGAATATTAAATTATACTCATCTTTTCCTACACTTCATTTAAACTTATTGAATTGAATTAAATCTACTTCCTCAATAGCGCATAAACCACAATAGAATAAATGTACTCTTTAAAATTCACTATATTTATTTACCATAGCGACACTCTGGCGTTAGTTCACTTAACAGCGTACATTTCAATTCATTTTATATCTCAGAATGCAAAAAAAAAATTATATCATCTGAAGAATTATCTAATCTTTGCCACATGTTCTATTCAAATACTATAATAAATTTAAAACGATGAATAAAAGAAATCAAACATAAAAAAGAAACAGTTTTTCACAGACAATTCAGCGCCGCTTACCTAATGCACATGCGCTACGGGTAAACATTCTCCTTTTTCCGAGACAGACTGGCGATAATATTTTGCTGCTAATATGAAATACTTATTTCCTCGAATTTCATTAGAGATATATTTCTCATTCAATTAATTCAGTTCTCACTTCGCGGCAAGGCAAAAATACATAAAACCTCAAAATATCTTCATTGAAAAAAAGATAAATATAAAAAAACCCCACAAAATACAATAAAAAAATTACAATTAAAATTAGAGTCTACGTAAAAACAAGCAATTGGTCCAGAAAGCAACGAGGTAGATTTTTCGATGCACAAAAATGAAAGCTTAATTTTGGTCCCTTTCTTCAAAAAGACACTGAAGGGGCCGAAACTGAATTAACTATTCTGCTAAGCTTTCAAATGTAAACAAATATGTGTGCTATGGTAAACAAAAATTAGGCTTAGCCGCATTTAAACAACGTTTAAATTGTTGATAATTCTACAAATATTGCATGCAGATTAACTAAAGGCTTCCAAACTTAATCAGAAGATAAGAACAATATAATTCAATCATTTTTAAAACAAAAAATGCGCAATTTACCAATATATAAGAATAAAAAAATGAGCTCACTGAGCCGAGTAACAATATTTCTGGTGATGCCGATTGCAATCAAAAAGGGAGGTGCACAATTACATATTATAGCATTCGTATACACAAAATTTCAACGTTCTGAGGCTACTCGTTTTTGAGTTATACATGCATCTATATGCGAGATACATACACGAGATTTTAAATCAGTTTTATAATTCGTTTTGGGTAAAAGAATCTTTTATTCTATCCTTACGTACAGATGCCACACCAAAAGATTGTTAAATTGCATTCGATAGCAGTCAAAATTGTTATTTCGTTGAAATATGATACCTGGAATTTTTCGTGATTACAATGCTTCCTTTATCCCATTAATATCAACATTAGCGTTCCAAAGAGCTATTGGAAGTCTTATCATTATAAGAAGCTTTTAGCTAAGTGGAATGAGGAACATATTTCATCTTGAATGAGGTAACCAAAAAGTTCTTTCCTTTTATTTATCATAGACGGCATTCCAAGTGTTTCCTCTCTATAAATTTTAAAATACTCAGTTTTTATCTGGTCACGGAAAATTTGCAAGTTCCTGTTTCGTTTTAATCTAAGATCAAACAATTTATATGAATATTCAAAAAGAGTACCTCAGGATGTGGTATATTTGATTTTCACATGCCCTACATTTGATGGCCCTAGATTATGCTTCCAGAACGATTTGAAAATGTTCGGAGTGACTTGGCCCAGTGAATTTATCTGTTTTCGTGAAGTTCAGACTGCTGTTCTCTGCTTTTGTTCGTTTTATTTATGCATGTAACTTTTAACGTCTTAGTTAACTTTAATTAACTTACTTCTGTAACCCCATTTTGTACATATGTGGTGGACGTGGAGTCTGTGATTTTTCAAAAAAAAAAAAAAAAAAAAAAAAAAAGAAAAAAAAAAAAAAAAAAAAAAAATGCTTCTTTTACTAGTTTGTAAGAAACTCCTAAAATTTAAAAAGTTGAATTATTATAAGATTGCTCTAACATTATTATGTACACTTTAGACATTTTTATATAAGTAAAACTTTGTTCTCCATGTATGTAAGTGCGTACTAGTAGGCATATAGTATGTGTATTTAGTACAATTTATACAGATCCTAGTGTAGCGCTATAGCTCTTGCCATACAGCCAGCCAGGCTTTTCCTTGTAATACATAGATTTAAAAAGGCGCATATGCTAAGCCTGTACATATTTTCTCAAAATTATCGGAATTGTTTTTATAAAGTCAACAATTTACTGTATTAATGTTCATACCTATGTATTAAGTTTCCGATATAATTGATTTGATCAATAATTAAGAACACTTCTGCATCTTAAACTTATGAAGAAATTATAAACTGTAAATTTTCTTTCTCACTTAGAATGAAACACGATGACGAAAACCTTCTTGAAGAATATCTTTACAATTAATTGCATGATAATTGCAGTTTGAGGAAAAATTTCAAATTATATAATGTTTTATTATTAATAACTATATTCATTAGGAAAAGATTTTATAACAACAAATAATACCAGGAGTTTGTTTTATTGGACAAGTTTGGCATTAATGTCAGCGACCGTAACCATGTAACCCTATTTAATATAACGAGCAAACTGTCACGGAACTGCTATACCTATCCACTGCTTCTACATAACAGAAGGAACCCAAACTTTATTATGTTGATCACGAATCCAAACGAAACCATCATAAGTTAATACTTATTCAAAAGTGAATACTTATTCTTAATCATTAATATACGCTATAAAAACAAAAAAAAATATCGATTTCGTTAATCACACAGAATAGTGACTATATTTATAGTACGTACCTCAGCTATTGCAATCCAAATTTCAGCAAAAACCAAAAATTATATCTGCTACATAGTTCATTTGGTAACCGGTAAAAATGTATTAAAAATCACCTGACCTATCGATATCATTGTCGAGTGTGATATGCGGGATACTCATTTTAAGTTACCAACAGATGGTGTTAATACACTTGCGGCAGCCACAAGAACGTGGAGAACACTTCGACAAGATGGTAGCTTCCTTGCACCATTGCGCTAAACAAGGGAAACGTAATGCTGTAACAAGCGAAGGTGTGAAAACTACGCAAATTCATTGTCGGATACTTCGAATATACGGAGTGCAAAGTATAAGTCCTACATAAATATGTCAATGGACTGAGGAAATAATGGAAGTTAAAATAAAAGGAAGCTCGAACCCCGCCCTACGACTGAAGCATTGTTTCCAAGTTTTCTTCTCCAGAGAGGTTGTTCCTCGTCAGAATTAATAAATATATAAATAGATATACTAATAAGTTAACTTTTTCTTCATTTGTAACCACACATTTGTGTAAAATTGTATACAACAATATTTGCCAATTCGGAGGAAGTACCATGTACAGTCTAGATCAGGGGTTCTCAACCGGTGGTACGCGTACCGCTGGTGGTACGCATGAGAAAAATAGGTGGTACGCAAAGAAGCAAAGTATTTTTAACTAGTCAATTAAAAAATTAAAACCCCAACATCCTGGTTGAATTTTTTGCTCTAACACTTGTAAGTTTATGCGATCTGATCTTTGTTCAAGAGTGGTGGAGGTAGTGGTACTTTATAGTGGTGGTACTAAAGGTTTTCAATTTTTGTTTAGATGGTACGCTTTAGTCAAAAGTTTGAGAACCGCTGGTCTAGATGATGTGACCATACGGACGTGCTACATCATCAAGACAGCATGAATGCATGTACTTTCATTCAGTTTATATTCATACATATATATTATGTAAAAGAAATCTGATATATGCTAAATTACTGTAAATTACTTTACTCGAAAAATATAGTGAATGCACAGAAATTAAAGATTGGCACATGCAGAAAATGAAAAAAATACGTAAATATTTATTAAATTATTTATAAATGTATTTAAAAATGATGGATTTAATCATTCATAATCTCCTGCGAATCTTACTGTCAAGAAATCTAGTTATTAAATGCATCTATATTTATGATGATTATAAATATTATCTAAATATATAATAACCTTAATATTTAATTGTGAACATAAATTGAAATTCTGCTGACAAATATGTTTATAAAACTATTTAAGTAAGAACTGTTCGCACTGGAAAGCAATCTGTTAAAAGGTGTTGTAAAGCAAAGTCTATGAGGTACCCACTTAAGGAAGCAGTAAAGATGAATTTTTAGAATACGTATTGTTAAAATTAAGGGTAATTTGAAAAGTATTAAAAGAATTATTTCCTTACATTGTAGAGACATTAGGTATTTTTTGAAAGCAGAAAAGAGGAAAAATGAGCAGTGCCCTTGCCGGGACTCGAACCTGTCAAATACGCGTTGCGTATGATTCCAATTACACCACAAAGGCATGCTAAGAAGGCGGGAGAAATACTTTATATAATCCCCCTTTTAAAGGGCGACTGGGGATTAGAAGACATATTCGCCAAATCCTGGTGGTGGAGAACCATTATCCACCACATTCTTTTTTTGTTCGGGCGCCACTGTAGAGGCATTAGGTATTTTTTGAAAAGCAAGAA